CCCTCTGTCATACTGTAAACTTGCTCCCCCAGGCCCACCTTCACCCGGCTGGTTTTAGCTGACGTTCACTTATTCTGACTGCTGCTGGTTGAATAGGTTGTACACTTTGTTGTGAATTACATAGAGGTTGATTTACTAAAGGCAAATAGGCAGTTCATTTTGCAAAGGAACTTGCCCCCAAGCTTAGTAAATTAGGTGAAGCTCTGTTGATTTCCACCACCCAATCATGTGCAAGCAAAAATGCTATTTTTTTTTTTTTTGTTTTTTTATTTTCCTTAAACGTAACTGGGTATTCTTTGTAAATTGAAACTTCACCAGTCTGGAGAAAATTCCCTTGCAAAATCAACAGCCTATTTTCTTTTAGTATATCAACCCAATAATATCTTCCAAAGTGTTCTATATGTCTGAGACTTTCACTTGTGGCATAGTAAATGCAAAGTATTATGTGGGTACAAGGCCTGTGTCACATGTATGGTGTGTGTACAGAAAATATGCTATAGTAGGTTCTGTTTAATTATTCCACCTCAAGCCACTCCCACTGCTTAGGGCAATCTGACTACACCTGCTGTAGTTTACTGACATGCCTTAAGCCTAGTACACACAATGAGAAAAATCGTATGAAAAATACAGTTTTTGAAGCAATCTTCCGACAATCTGATCTTTAGTACACAACTTTTGAGAGCCGATCACAATAGTTCATGCAACATTTTCTGAAGGGACAAGCAGGAAAATAAGTACAGTATTCGACCATAGAAATTGAGTGATCAAGGCTATGCATGCTCAGAACCGAAAGAATACATTACAATACAATACATTACATCTCTTCTGAAGTTGTATTCTGTTGTACAAAAATGTTTGGAACTTTAGTAACCCCTTCATTTTTCAATGAGACTAGCATGCAAAAAAATGGGCAATCATTCGTCCAATATTCTCATCATGTGTATGAGGCTTTAGAGTGGCCTAGATCTTCCACAATCCTAGCTATGCTCATTTATCACACTTTTTACCTGTAAAATTAGGAAGATTGCTTGTTATGGGTATTAACTTTTAAAAGTTTTGTATACTGTTTAAAAATCAATTATTTCAGTCTATACAATAGGAGTTGTCATGCCACATGTCAGGTTGTCTGCAAAAAATGTCATCTGTCGGTAAATTTTCCACATTTTGCCAGTAAACAATCTTGTGGGTGGGAGGCAATTCTATCATGAATGCATGCAGTGCATCATGTTTTCATCAAAACCTAACCCTACCCTAGGCTTTTAATATATTTTTCCATATGGTGAATTAATACAGTACTTATGGGTTGCTTTATTTAATTGCTGATTCATTTGTCAGGTGTAGTTCCATTCTATACAGTACACATTCAGTGATGTTTATTGGTAATATTACATTTTATTTCTATAGAAATAATAAATAACCCACTGCCCCATTATGGTTTACAGGGATTCACTTGAACAACCTGGGGTCACCATTACAAGTTGACCAGCATACTGGACTATGTATTGTTGACTGTGTCTACACTTTGGTTATTGGCAATGTTGTGGGACTTGGCAAGGGCAAGAGAGTTCTCTGCTCCTCTGTCATAACCTATACACTAAGCATTCATTCTGTTGAGCACCTTGTGTCAGTAGGATCAGTAGGAAAAAATGACTTGTGAATCCTTCCATCCTGTTCCTGCAGCTAAATGATGATGCCACAAGGGCAAATAAAAATAGAAATGTTAAAATAAATGGAAAGTAAAAAAAAAAAAGCTTTGGGACTTTATAAAGAGGGAGAGGGAGGTAACATGCTGCCAGGAGACCAGCTTTGCTGCCATTATAGCTGAAAGGTATCTGTTACTTTTCTTCCCCAGACACCCATAAGAAGCTATTGGGCAAGTCAACACAAGTGCATCCATTCAAAACTGATATATCAGCTATGGATGGACCATTTTAACCAAATTAAGTAAAATGAATCAAGGAAGAGCTGGCAAGTGGTGATTACCTTAGAGTATTGCTATTTTGAAAACAAAGGTTGCAGCCACGATTTCTATCCATTTCATTAGTGCTGTATGCACGCAAGGCATCTCTCTCAGGTTGTAAGAGCTCATCATTCATTTTTACATTATTTCCTGAGTGCATACTGGTTTTTAAACCACCAGAATGCCAGTTCCTATAATGTAACAGCACTCCAGACTTGGCCACTCATAGCTGTTACAGCCTAAGCTGGCTAGGTGGCCTGGCCAAGGCTGCAATCTGGTCAGGTTGTGTTCCAAGCTGCTGGGCTAGTGGATTGAAAGTTTGGCAGGTGTCATCATTTGCATTTTGATCCCCACCCTTCTCTGGAAATCCCTGGCAGATTCCTGGCTGCATCTGTTGATAGTGACTGGTTAACTAAATCAACTAAATTTCATCTGCTTAAAAATTTTACTGAGATATCTGTAAACTGAAATTAGTTTGTGATTGTGCAAAATGTATTAAAAAACAAAATATATGAATTTGGGTGTCAGTTTTGGAATTCTAATATTTCCTGCACTCATTTAGGACTGATAAGTGTAAACTGGGGAAAAAAAACTGGAGTCCAGTTGGAACTGGTGTCTATGACAGTTAATATGGTTTCATAGATAAAGCAAGTTTTATTACAAACTTTCATGATCAACAGACTGCACTTTAAACCTTTTTTTTTTTTTACCAAAATGGATATCTGGGCAACAGTTCCCACTTAGCTCCAGCTTCTATCTTACAGTTTTCTTGAAATAGCCTTTAGGTACTCTGTTAATATACATTATGTTAAACCATAAAGTGAATACCAATTGCTGCCAAGTTAAATTGCATGTTGGTTTCTAATATTTCTTAGGGACATCAGATAACTCATTGTGCTCACCAAAATACACATTTTCCTGCTCAACTGAAATAATGAAAAATACCCAAATAATTTGGGATCCTTACTATAGGATAATCATATCTTCACTATGGCCTGGATGGGACGGAGCCAAAAACAAACTACTGTGGGGATTATTCTTTAACTATTCAAGTCTTCAGGATATATAAATGCCAGTGGTTTATTTAACCCAGTGCCCACAAAGAACAGGTCAATTCCTAAAAATTGCAGAAAAGACAAAAATGTAATTTAATTAACCATGTGCTTTATTCACATCATTTTTTATTTTGTGTTAAATTACTGTGCACAGATTTTTGCAAGTGATTATCTATCCAGAGCATCATATGTCCAAATAAAAAATAGAGGACGAACAGAAAGACCCCAAAGCATTTACTTCCATGCAGCTCTTTATACAGTGCAGCAGATGGTTCCAGATATAGCTGTTTATATTCCATATAATCACCCAGATGCATTTCAGAATTACGCAAATACAAAATATATCATTCTATATTCCTCTATAGAAAGTCACCTTATCCTTTGCCCTCCTGAAGGTTATCAGTGGATTGCTAATATATATTTACTAATGTACCCAGTAATGCATGTAGCTGCCAAAGAGGCTACCAGCTGTAGCAGAGTTTGACATTGCAAGGACTTATCAAATGAACAGTTATTTTTTACTCATTAGCAAATTATTCCCCTTTCATTACATGCACTGAGTCCATTCTCTTTCCTCCTGAGTGGATGCACAAATGAATACAAATGCTTTATTTTTCATTGACTGTGTCTACAGCTGAAGAGGCGATATGAGCTGTTCTTAATGGAAAATTGAGATTTTGAACTTCACTGAAATTGTAATATATTTCTTGACTGGACCCCAGAGATCTCATTTATTTACTTGCATATGCTGATGAACATTTTGCTTATGCTACAGTGAAAGCAAAAAGTTAACAATTACACTAAGCTGATGTTTGCAGGGATGGCAGTAAGACTTTATTATAGAGTACCAAATAGATTAAACGCTATGAATTTTACAATGGATCAGACGTACCTATAATTAAATCATTTTAGAATCCTCAGCTATTGTGATCATTAGTGGAGTTGCATTGCTCAAGATTATTGGAATTTAATGGATATCCATAGTGCTCATCCTCTGGAGAAATCAACAGCATTCTCATCTGATTCGTCGTTCAATTCTGCATTTTGTTAGAAAACCAAACACATGTCCTTGGAGCCCTGCACGGTGCCTTTGCCATCCAATAACTAGACCATGATCATTTAGCAGGATGCCAGCAACTTAATCTGACAAATTGACAGCATCAGAGTAACTCAGCTGGCAATGTGTTGCGTGATTTCACCAGTAAGGTCTGGACTTCGAGTCGGAGAACTTTTATAGTTGTTGGTGTGGTGTGTTATTTGCATCGGAAGATAATACTGTTTCTGCTTATCCTCTGTTAATGGGTAAGTAAGTATAAAACATAAACTGCCTTACATATCAAAGATATATAATTTCATTTTTAGTAGATAGTAGAGCTTTGATTAGAACTACATTTTTTTTTTTTTTTAAATATAAAGTGAGGAGAGGTTGGATTCTTTTTTTTTTTAATTTGTGGATCTCTGTTGTTGAGATTTTAGTTTTTAACTTGATGTATTTCAACAGTTTTTTGATAATCTATATCCTTCTTGACATACTTTGCACTAGACTTTAAAGTGGAACTGCTCTTTGTTCACGCAGGGCAAAGCAACAGGTTCACTTTAATCCCAACCTCCACAGATCCACACACTTACCTTAAAGAGTATCTGTAGTCAAAATGTAATATCATATATTAATTTCCACTATTTATTTTAACCACTAGCCTACAGGGCACTTATACCACCTCCTGCCCAGGCCAATTTCCAGCTTTCAGCGCTGTCACACCTTTGAATGGCAATTGCGCGGCCATGCAACACTGTACCCATATGAAAATTTTATCATTTTTTTTTGTGACAGAGGTTCATTTTGGTGGTATTTAATCACCTCTGGGTTTTTTATTTTTTCTTAAACAAACCAAAAACCACTGAAAATTTTGGAAAAAAAAAGTTTTTTCTTAGTTTTTGTTATAAAATTTTGTAAATAAGTGATTTTTCTCCTTCACTGATGTGCGCTAATGAGGCTGCACTGATGGGCACTGATAGGCTGCACTGATGGACACTGATAGGTGGCACTAATGGTCACTGATGAGGAGGCACTGGTAGGTGGCACTGATGGGCATTGATAGGCATCACTGATGGGCACTGAAAGGCAGCACTGATACATGGCACTGATACATGGCACTGATACATGGCACTGATAGGTGGCACTGACTGGCACTGATAGGCGGCACTGACAGGCACTGATAGGCGGCACTGATGCTCACTGATAGGCGGCACTGATTGGCGGCACTGCTAGGTGGCACTGATTGGCATTGATAGGTGGCACTGGCTGGCACTGATGGGTGACACTGAAAGGCAGCTCAGATGGGCAATGATATGTGGCATTGATGTGCACTGGTATGCACTGATATGTGGCATTGATGTGGCACTGATGGGCACTGACACAAGGCACTGATGGACACTGACAGGTGGCACTGCTGGGGCTACACTGATCATCAGGGCACACTGATCATCAGTGCTCTGATGATCAGTGTAGATGTCCCCTCTGTGGAAAGCCGATTACCGGCTATCCTCTCCTCTCGAGCTGTCAGCGTGACAGCAGTACAGGAATTACTGCTTACAGTAAGAAATGTCCCACGGTTTATGTAGTTCTTAGAAGTTTTAAAATAAATAACAGAGTAGAAGCTGCAAATCATGCAGGGAATCCAGGAAGGTGTGTAAAGAGATGAGCAGCAGACAGGCAGCATTCACAACAAGAGACTTTTCAAGTAAGTTTATATTGGATTGTCAGTTATAACTATTGTTTGTGTTGCTATTACAATGCTGATGTTCTAAAAATAAAATGTATGCTGTAATCAAGGAACTTCTTTAACCGCCTCTCACCATATAAGGAAATGACGGGGCGGGTGGCGGCTCTCTCGTTCTGCGAGGACATCATATGATGTCCTCCAACTCAAACTGTGCATTCGTACCCCCAGGGGGGGGGGGGGTGCGGCGATCACAGTAAAGTGCCGATGACATAGGCTCTGTCATGTGATCAGCTGTGTCTAATCACAGCTGATCGCATGTAAACAAGGAAATGCCAGTTATCAGCAGTCCTCTCCTCACACTGACAGCCCATGAGGAGAGGAGAGCCAGTAAGTGGCATTCCTCAGAGGTAACATTTACACTGATCATCGGGGCACTGATGATCAATGCCCTGATGATTAGTGTAGCCCCATCAGTGCCACCTGTCAGTGCCCATCAATGCCACCTGTCAGTGCCCATCAATGCCACATACCAGTGCCCATCAGTGCACATCAATGCCACATATCAGTGCCTACCAGTGCACATCAATGCCACATATCAGAGCCCATCAGAGCTGCCTTTCAGTGCAAACTAACAGTGCCAGTCAGTGATGCCTGTCAATGCCCATTAGTGCCACCTATCAGTGCCTCCTTATCAGTGCCCCTATCAGTGCCCATCATTGCAGCCTCATTAGCGCACATCAGTGAAGGAGAAAAATTACTTATTTCCAAACTTTTATAACAGAAATGTGTTTGGGTGCAGTGTTGCATGGTTGTAAAATTGTCATTCAAAGTGCGACAGTGCTGAAAGCTGAAAACTGGCCTGGGCAGGAAGGGAGCAAAAAAAAAAAAAAGCATCTAGGAGTAAAGTGGTTACATTAATTCCCACAACACTCCATTCAACCACAGGAAACAAAGGAAAATCCTGCAAAAGTTAAGAGTTCCTGGATGCACAGAACTGTGGGCTTCCTGGGTGACACACTGATTTACCTACCACTATTACATGGAGTGCTTCTCCATACCTGGAAGTAACAGGTATTTCCTTCAGCTGTATGTTGCTACAGAAGTGATGATTGCAGTGGCCCTGTCACCACAGGGTCACTGTTTCTCAATAGCCCACCTGTAAAAGAAGAGATATCATACTTACCTTTTCAGCAACTGAGTATTAAAAAAATCTGAGTAAAATACTTGCTCCCTTCTGGCTCTGTGGTTCCTACCGCTGACTTTTATGTAGTGACCAGTGGGAAGTGCAGTGGCCACTAGGGGAGCAAGTAATGTGCAAACCTGGACATATATAATACATGCAGTGGCTTTTCCACACACAAAACTGCTACAAAGGTAAGTACACTGTATGTCCAAGTTTTCTTTACAGGTGAGCCATTGTGTAAAAGTGACTTAGTGCTCATAGGGTGACTTAAAGCAAATCTGTTGCTCTGAATGTCATTTTAGTAGCAGATATAAGTTGTGAAAAGGTATAAAGATCATTTTTTTTCAAGCAAAACTTCAAATGAAATGTTTTGGTAGAGCACTGTCTCTTTCCTTTTCCTTATCCATTGCTTTGTTCAGTGAGGTGTCCCGTCATAGCGATAGTCCAATAGGAATATACTGTATGGTGAGAGGAGTGCATAAGGTCCAACACTACTAGGAAGTGTCAGAGCTATGCCTGAGCAAGACTGCCCAGCATTCAGGTAGAATAGAGGCACTAAAAGCTGCTGCAAGTATTTTATGCCCCTCTAGGCATCTCCAATTTATATCTGTCAGCAGCTCGTTTTTTCGGCAAAGCGACAGCTACTTTAACATTACCAATTCCCTGGTTAAACATCTAAAACTGGAGGCAACCCAGACAAAATACAACATAATTTTGCCAAAGTCAGGGGAAATGCATGTAAATCAAAATAAATATTTTTGTACTCTTGTAAAATAGACTTTTTTAAGTGGTCCCTGGAAGCAAGTGCAGCTTAGCTTATCCCTTGACAACAATTTCATTAAAATACCCATGAGTTGTTGCCTATTTAAAGGGAAAATAATTTTAGTTTCATTATGAATGGTGCTGATTTCAATTGCTTTGAGAAGCAATTCAGTTACAAGGAGCATAATTTATAACAAAGTGAAAAACTAAAATGCTGCTGAAGATGACCTTTAAATATTTACCAACATACCCGTAATGGTTTGTGCTGTGCAGGATCCTTCATTAAGAGTCATTCACACTTAGGGGCAGACTTTGAGTTCCAGTGTGAATAATGTGTGATCAGCTGTGGGCAGGAAGCCCTATATAAAGCAATGAGAGGTTGACAACACCTGTGGTCATTCATATGTAGTCAGACTTGCAGCAATTACCTGCATATGATCAACCCTGGCAACAAACTGCATCCAAAGCTGACTATCTGCACGTAATCGCTGCATATCCGATTACAAGTGAAAGGCAGTGGGTGCTGTCAGCCTCCCGTTGCTTTGCATGAGGCTTCGGGGTTTATTTACTAAAGCTGGAGAGTCCAAAATCAGACTCCCTTCTGCATAGAAACCAATCAGCTTCTAACCTCAGCTTGTTCAATGAAGCTTTGGCAATGAAACCTGGAAGCTGATTGGTTTCTATGCAGAATGTGAGTCTGATTTTGCACTCTCCAGCTTTAGTAAATTAACCCCTCCTGTCCACAGCTGTATGCATAAACCCTGTCAGTCTCCTGCAGGAATTCTAATGACCCCTTCACATGAGCTTTCCGATCAGGTTCTACTGTCAATTTTTCAGGCAGACCTGATCGGAAGCTCCATGTGGGTCTATGGGCAGGAAAATGTAAATGGATTTGTGTCAACTTATACCCACCTATATCCGAGTATGTCAAAAAAGTGCAAAAGGACTGTGTACTTTTCAGTTTTTTCAGTCTAAGCGTGACAGATAGGAGACAAGTCCATTTACATATGGACATCCATACAGCCATCATGGATCTGACCCTGTCTGCGATGTAAATGTGGACACAAACTGAAAAGGCACAGATGTCAAGAACCGACATCCATCCAATTTACAGGGGATCTGCTCAAGGATCCCCTACTGAATTAATTATACAAAGCCCGGGTGAAGGGGCCCTTGGTCTACCTCAATTGCAAGTGTAAATGGGGCCTAAATCTAAACTCCTAGATAGGTATAAAAGATACAAATTATAACAGCTCTTGATTTATTAATACATAATTAAATGTATTTGGAAAGCATGTGGATTAAGAGCCTAAATAAACTGCAAATTCACTGCAGCATGACTCATAATTGCAATTACACCATTTTTTTGATGAACAAGCAATAAGCAATCACTGTGCAATGGAAAACTTGAACCCAGTATTGAGTTTTAAAAATTCTGATGGTTAGTATTCTATTGACTACGGATTGATGTCTTTCTGATGTGGATTTCACATGATGCTATGAAGGACAGATCAGTGAAGGAAAATTAAGCAAAAGTCTACAAAGTGCTTTACAGTGTAAGTGAGTAGAATAATTTTTATTGACTCATTTATATGAAAGCCTGTATTTAAAATTTCAACTGAATTATTTTTTTTAAATAAAGTGTTCATTTAAAAATCTATTCAAAGTAATTAATCATGAACATTTCAGCTATGCATGAACTAGTTTAATATGGTTGAAAAAAAAACATGCCATGGGACTTGGAATTTTTACTGGTCCCTTAGAATATACAATAGACCTGAGAAATTAGAATGTGTCGGTACAGTATGTCTAGGCGATATTCAGTGCACAACATGGGTGTGCAATGTTTAGTGTTCCTTGTTTTAGTCCAGCTACTCTCAACTATGGTTCCCCCAGATGTTACTGGGGATTCTTTGACTAACTAGAATTGTAACCATTAATGTAAAGGACAAATGTAAGTGGTCTCTTATTCTACTAACATTAAATGTAAGAGGCCATTCTCCACTTACCATCAATATAGGGGGGCACTTTTCTACTACCCACCAGTGTAAGGGCCGCCTACTCCACTGACCACAAATAAGAAGGGACATTATAATTTTGGCTGTCTGCATTTATATTGACATAATTAGAGGTGATGGACGTTAGAAATGATACACTTTTCTTTCTTTGTTTCTTTCTTTGTTTCTTTGTTTGTTTCTTCCTTTCTTATTACATTTATATTACCCGAGATATGTGTTAGCAGATATAGATATAGTTAGCAAGAGCCAGTTGTGTATGATGCATTAAGTACTTCCATCATCTATTGTTTGTTTGAGGATTCCAGTTCTCTTCTTAGATGATCATGATTTGCATTGCCTTTGTTTTCTTTAAGTTGATTTTCAGTCCTTTAAAAAGGACTTTCAAGTTTAACAAGTTTAATCTTCACATCAGCTAATGAGAGCAAATGTCCTCCAAAGCATTATCTAATCAGTGATTTGTTATAACCATATCTTCTTCATCCCCCTATATAATCAAGGTGCAGAATAAAGGGAAATGTATGCACTTTTTACGTCATAGCTGAAAAAAACTTGTAAAAATATAAACAGCTAAAACTTGTGATTTAAATACATATGGATCCTGACCATTAAATACTTAATGACCTTTTATACATTTTATCTGTTTTTCATGCAGCAAAATAAGGTGCATTTTTT